TTTCGGACGAATTATCAACGAAAACCGAGGTATCACCGTAAATTCTTTCTTTTAAGCACATGTATGTCTATGCATTATCAAAATATTGTAACTTACAAATACCTTATTCTTTTATAAATAGAATATTTATGAATTTTCTTTATTGATGAAACTATTTTTTCATTCAGATGCATGAAAAGTTTATGACTCCAAGAATTTTCTATTGGAAAAATAACATTAGTCATTAAAAGGTCAAAGTTGTGTCTCATAGCAAAAACTTTTAGTAAAAAATGAAGAAAAGTTTGACTATTTTGCACATTTTCATTAGTATCAACAGTTAATGGTAAAACTTCAGACGAGAATAATTGCTGACCATTATAAAGTATTAATTTTACATTTTTCTCGTCAATATTCTGAAGAAGAGAGCCAATTGAATAAAACACACACAAATTATTTTCCAAGTTAATATGTAGAACAAAACTAATATCAGCTTTAGTTTTAATTTTTCCAATATTTAATTTAGACTTTGTACATAAAACTCCAATACACATTTGCTGACATTGATACGACTCTGAAATTTTATTGATAGTAGTTTGAAGATCTTTAACAGAACAAGAAACAGCAAACATAAAACTGATATTGCAGCAATTGCTAATAAATTCGTAAAATCCAAATAAACAAATAAGTTCAAATTTTAAAAAGTTTTCTGATAAGAAAACTAAAAATTGCTGATTTTCGTTGCACATTATTATATAAATATCACATGCAAAGTTTCTAACTTAATAATAACACAATTTTAATTATCATCATGTCGACACAACTAACATTCACTGGAGGCTGCCATATTGAAAACTCTCCCTTCCACCTATCGACAATTTTTCGTATTAAATAAAAAACTATATTTGAAAATTATTGTTATTAAAAATACTTATTTTAAAAATAGCATGTAATAAAAAATTGCTTGAAAACAAATTTTTTATAATAAAATATAATATTTATCTTCAAGAAAATATGTTTTATAAACATATTTATTTCGTTTAGCGCTTTAGTTTTTAGATCTTTTTGGGGAAGGGGTCTGAAACTGGAGGCCCGCAGCCGGATACGGCCCGTTAAGGCTTCATATCTGGCCCGCGGCCTTGCTAATTTCTTTTCTAAAAACCAATGTTTCAAACATTTTGCGGGGATTAAAACAGAAAAAAAAAATTCAGACTTCTGTTTACGTAAGTCGTAAAGGCCTGGTAATAAAAGGTCTGTTTTGGTTTACCGAATAATAATGAATACGGTCCGCGTCTGATATACAGTACAGTATTTGAGTGACCCTTTGCTGCATTTGAGTTTGAGATCTCTCTGGTTTAGAGGTTATCACTACAAGATTGGCAACACTGTAACAGATGTTTATGTCAATATGGCCGAAAACGTGGATACGTCTTCACGTGGAAGTGATAACATTAGTGAAACTTCAGAAAGTAAATTGAAAAAAATTCTTCGAAAACAGAAAAGATGCGAATTAATGCTGGAAAAGAATGAAAACGTAAAATGTGTGAAGTTTCCTACAAGAGTATGATTATTATTATATGTTTTGATTTTTCTGAACATTATAGTGTAGAAAATAAATTAACAACTTGGTTCTCTTCAATCAAATTAAGCGATAGTTCAATCAGAAGGTTCAATGTAATTACAATTAAATATTAAAATAACACATGTTATTTTAATACACGTGAACTACAATTTATGCACAATTTTTATAAATTCTATTTCTTAATTTACAAATAGGACGTAGTTTATAGTTCATGTATAAGTATTAATTCTAATTATATTGAACTTTTTGACTAATCAGTATAATTGTACCAAAATTTTTATTATATATACAGTACTCTTTCCAAGCATTTACTCCATTTTAACTCTAAATAAATGCCTTGCTTTTACTATTTAGGGATCTTTTTATTGTAAATAAAGGTCTTTAAAGTCTGATTAAACATTTTTCAAGAAAATTGTTACTCATTTTCAGATTGATTTATTCTACCTTGGAATCTAAATGATTTCAAATAATAGTTACTTCATTTTTGAATCATTAAATTGCTGTAATGAATGAGAAAATCAATTGACGATGCTAATGGTTAACTTCTCTGCACTCTTGCTCACCATTAGTAGGAAAAAGTGAATCTTAGTTTTCCTAGTGTAGTGCACTTATTCGGATGATTTAATTTTTATTTTCACATTTAGTGTAATTTTTCATAACACTTCTGTTTTAATTTTTCAGCTTTTGCAAAAAGCTCTGTGAAGAGCAACTGTGCTGTAATGTGTGATGATATTTTGTTTGTTTCTTAAAAGTTTTTACTTTCTGTTTTCCATTTTTTATATTTTTATGGTTAGTCCCTAAACTCTATAATAAATCTTTACTGTTATTTTCCATTTGTTTTGACTTTTTTGTGCAATTATGCTGTACTCTGTCTAAAATTTTTAATTAATTAATTCTTCAGTAATTTTTTAAAAATTTGATTTCTTATTATATGTATTATGGAAAGAATATGCTTAATGAAAAAATATACAACCCCTGGTCCAAAGACAAGTATGGAATATAGTTTCAAAAAACAGACGTTAAATAATTAATTCTTTTTAACGAAATTTATTTGCAGTCTTGTGCAAGTAACAACAGAAAAGAGATGAAAGTAATTATATAAAAAAATTTATGAAACAGCATCTTCAACACTTGACTAACATTAGACAAAATTATGGAATTAATAATTACAGAGACAAGTATGGACTCAAGTAAATTAATACTGCATGGGATTGCTTTTGTCTTTATTACTGCTTTAATATGTCTTGGTATTGAAGCAACTACTTTTCACATAGTCTGCAGGTATTTCTGCTCAGCTAGTTTGAATAGCACTCTTCAATTCAGACAATAAAGCCAGTTTCTTTTTTGGAACCTATGTTGAGCTTACCTACCCTTAAGGTGGTCTGCCAATTGCTACTTTGTATGATGAAATATGACACATGTCCACTTTTTATTTGGTCACCCTTATATAATTATTATTTTAGCATGAAATAATTTAGTTATAAAAGATTTTTACAAATAAATAAATAACCACTATCTTTATCTAGTCCATCAGCTTTATTTCTCTATAAAACAAATGTTTTCGACCTTCCCCTAAGATCTTCTTCAGTTATTATTTGAAAAAATGGAAATGTTTGAAGAACATAATGTATTTCAAATTCAAAATCTCCAATCAGATGCACGTATAAGAATGACGTATTGAAATTATAAATGTTTATCGAAATGTGCTTGCCATGCACAAGAAATACATTTCTCTTCTTTATAATTAATACATCCTCCATGTTGGTTTGCTTTAAAAACCTCCAGGGCTTTCAATTCTCTGAGTTGTTCAGTGGAGATAGCATATCTTATCAACTAGGCTTGATCTAATTTTGCTATAACGTTGTCTGATTCTCATTAACTATGTCATTTCTATGTTCTGCCATCCATTTTTTCAGTGATATTTTCATAGACCCTATATAAACCAGGTCCATCTGGAATCTTTCATCGTGTAACAGGACCTTATATATCTCTACTGAACAAATCAGAGAATTGGAAGCCCTAGAGATCGTTAAAGCAGATCAACTTGGAGGATATATTAAGTATAAAGAAGAGAAATGTATTTTGATAAACATTTATAATTTAAGTACTGTATGTCATTCCTATATACATATCTGATTGGAGTTTTCAAATTTGAAATACATGTTCAGATGTTTCCATTTTTTCAAATAATACATGAAAATCTTAGAGGAAGATCTTCAGGAAAATGTTTGTTTTATAGTGAAATAAAGCTGTTGGACTATATATAAAGGTACTGGGGTTATTTATTTATTTGTGAAGATTTGATTTTTACAAATTTGAAAGCTGTGAAATTATATTTTTATTATTATTTTCTAGTTTATTTTTGTTGGAAACCATGGTCTTATTTGTGGAATTGGTTGTGAAGAATTGATAACAGCATTTGAACCATTTGGTAAAATAGAAGATATTATTTTACCTCAAAATAAATCATATTCTTTTATTGTCTATACAAAATCTGAAGAAGCAGAAATGGCAATGAGAAATCTCCAAGGTGTAAAGTTAGAGCATATGAAACAACCATTATATTTATCTTTTGCAGATAAAGGTTAGAATTCATATAATATAGTAAATTATTAATATATGTATTAATAATATAATTTCCTGGTAATGAGAAAAATTTAGTGTGATTTTGATTTATGTGGGTGCTGCATACATAACTGGAGTGTGCTCATAAACAAAGATTTATATAAATTAAGATAATTTATCCTATAAAAATATATTATAGTTTGGAAAATAAGTTGTATGAACACTTAATTAATTGTCATTATAAATATATATTTTTTCACCTTAAGCAGATAATTAAAAATTAAGAGCAATTTTTTAATAGCTAGCAAAATAAAGATAACATTACTGTAAATTTACATAAATTGCATTAGAAAAATTATTTTCTTAAAATCTCAACATATATATATATTTAGTGGTGAATTTTTCAAATTTTTTTTTTTTTTGTTTTTTGACTTTGCATGGTCTTATAACAAGTTGTTTTATAAGACATATATAATAAGATTTTATTTATAAATTCAAATGTTATCTTGAACTTGTTTTTTTTTAATTCCTTAATTTCAACAAAGTTAAAATGCTCAAGCTTATATTGTAGGAGTCGCATATTATCTACCTATTAATGTTTCTGAAACCCATTGCTTCTTCAGATCATTAGATTGATTAGAAGAAACAGAGCTTTTAAACATTAGATAATACTTAACCTTACAATATAAGTTTGAGCATTGTTATAAGATTCTGTTATTTCAGAATCACACATTAATTATGTTTAAATAATAATTAATTCATTTAATCCCTAGAAATATAAGGAAAAAAATATAATTATTGGAAAAAATTTATATACTGTATTGCTTTACTTTTATACACTATTTTAATTACTTTTAAATTGAAATCACATTCTTAAAAAATAAATGAATTCAAATGTAGCATCATCAGGCTTTTTGTTTTCTTCTTAGTTACATGCAAACAAAAAATTTCATTACAGATGATCTGTTAAAATAGAACAAAACTAAACATTCAAACATATTCAAAAATAATATTGCATTAAATATAAATAAATATAACTTAATTGATTATCATTCAATAATATATATCAAATAAACTTTGAATAAATTACATAAACTGTTTATTTCAGAGAAAGCTAAAGTTGATTTTGTTAGTTATAAAAAATTATTGTAAGAATTTGTATTTCATAAATTGTATATGTATGGTACTTGTATTTATTAATTAATTTATATGAAAATTTTTAATAGTCATATTTAATTGTTTTGCATTATTGACAAGACTATGTCTTGTTTATAAAATCGTACTGCCACCCATTCTTACCAGCATAGAGGTATGAAGGAGTACATGTTGAGAGTTTATATTTGGCACAGAGTATTAGGTGCCCAAATCATATGTGCATAAAAAATCCAGACTTGTAGGTAGTCAAGGGACTGAGAATCGAGTCAAAATAAAATACAAAATGGCAACCCTCTTCTACAAACAGGCAAAACAGCCACCTCACCCCACTGAAAGTCAGGCAGGGGAGAGTACAACCCACGGTCATTCTAAGAAGTGAACTCTGACCTTAGGACTGAACACGTAGTTTCTTCTATGTTAAATAAAATCTGTAATCTAATTTTGTAAATTTGAGAGTGCTTCAAATATGACATTAAAACAGGGTTTTATGTCATTACAAGTAGGTTTTTTAACATTATCTAGTATAGTAAAATCGTAGGACCGATAAAAATTTGACGTTATATTAGAGTTGTCGTTACATTTGATGACATTATAATCGGGTTAAACTGTACATTGTTTGTGCAAAATAAAAAAATAATTTCGGGTGATACAATAGCCACGATTAGTTTTTCAAAAACGGGAACTTTTCTTATGCATCGACAAAAATTCAACCTGGGCCGACACGAAATTTTGAAATTAGATAGGTTAATTTCATCGAAGATGCATTGTGGACGATCTTGTGGTTGGGCTGGCAAAGTTTGAATGATTGCACCCAAAAGCAGCGATGTCAGAGAAGATAAGAGAATGAGAATGATGACCTGCCTTGAGTATCAAAGTGATTCCATCTCCGAGACATAGTCTTGTCCCAAATACAGTTTTGCCATTTTACTTGTTTATGCATTTATCTAGGTTTGAAAGTTTATTTATTTATTTTTAAAAAATATTTTAGTTCCAAGCAACCAGAAGCTTTTTAAGAATGAGAATTTTCCTCCTGGATTAATTCTTATTAAAGATTTTTTTACTGAGCAACAAGAAGAAAAAATACTTCAGTGTATCAAATGGGATGATTCAGGTAAGTTTAAAAATATATCTGACATTATAAAAAGAAATGTATACAATTAAATTTTCATAAATTATGGTTAGAAATTATAATGAAATGTAATATATATTTAGTGTATGGTACATGTAAATATTCAGGATTACACATGCTTTGTCTTTTAAGTCTTTGACATGTATTTAGTGAGAGGTATAATATATACCAAATGTTTAAAAAGATATTATATACATACATACATACACCATCTAATATTTCAATACACATTGATTGAAATGCATGGTTTGATGTTGAAGTTGATTATGAAATGCATGAATGACCAAGAATGTAATACAGTAGACCCCCTATAACACTGTTGATAATTCCATGTTATATGAATTCCATGTTGTGCGAGTTGCTTAGATTTTACAAATACATGTGCCAGGCTGTGAACGGCTCATGTATTTGTAAAATCTAAGTGACTTGTACAACATGGAATTCATATAACACGGAATTATCAACATTGTTATAGGGAGGTCTACTGTATAACATTTAATAACTCATTATAGCTGTAGTATATTATATAATAGAAGTTATTAGAATTATAATTAAGAGTTATTAGAGAAAGTAAAAGTCCTTTGATACAAAAATTATGATTGAATATTTTTAAAAATGCTCAGAACATATTTTCTAAAAATGATTAAAGAGGGCTATTAGAGAATAGAGGTTCTTATTAAATTGCCTTTAATCATCAGTATAGCTTATCTTTATATATGTTTGAAATGATAAAGATGTGGCTGTTCGAAATTTTCCATTTAATTTAATTTTAATTATATATAACATTTTTTAATAAAAAAAAAAGACTCATTATCTTGTATAATCTTTTATAACTGCTATTTTATACCAGAGATAAAAATATTATAAAAAAAAAACTACTATTAACAAGAGGACCATCAACCCTTGCTCTCCTTGAATTGTTTGATATTTTAATATGTTATAGTACACTTATTTGTCTAATAAACAGTGAAGTAACTTGTCAATGCACAATTGCAAGATATCAATGTTGAAAGTTTTTTGTTTTGATTAGTACTAAGTTTGTAAAAATCAAATTTCAGGTATGTGTAGTTGAATGTGTAAGATATGAATCACTAGTTAGCATGCTGGATATCATAGCTTTGCACCTCTCTTTTTCCAAACCTTTTTTAAAGCAATTTTTTCCTGTAACACAGTCATGTGAATTATTTTATATATTAGGCCAAAAACATGTTTTATTTATAATCATCACAAGGTAGTTAACTACACTTGTGTGGATGAATCATTTGCATTTAGAAACGATAAATATTATAGTAGAAATGCATTTCATAAAATTGAATTAACCACTTTTCAGAAATCCAGAAAAATTATGAAATTTCTTTTAATTTGCAAAGCAGCATATTTTAAAGAGACTCTAATAAGAGACTAGGTCTAAGATTTTCTTTTTGAANACACTATTTTATTTTCAGAATGCATTTCGGACATGGAGTCCCTCATCAGCTTTCTGATTTGATATGTGGGTACTTTGAATCGTCTTGTTACTCTATTCATGTTACTGTGAACCTACACTTTGTTTTAACAATGTATATTTTTACAACTTTACTGTTTTACCAGAACCTCAGTTTATTATTATGTTATTGTATCAACATTACCGTTTTTAATGGAAAATCTTGTTTTATCGCGTGCTTAGTCTTTTAATTAATGTTCAACGCATCAAATCCACATGTCAAATCAAAAAGCTGATGAGGGACTCCATGTCCGAAATGCATTCTGAAAATAAAATAGTGTTTTTCTAAATCTAATTTGATGTCCTGTGGTGGTGTAATAAGTCTAGCAGTAAAGTAAAGCCAATCTTAGTGCTCACAAGCCATTCAGAAGACTAGACAAGAAGCATATCATAGTAAAATAAAGTTGTTGATTGTTTGGTGATTATGGCATATGTGGATGTGATAATTTGTAGAAAATTAGTGTTTTGACTGTACATGTACTGATATGAAAAAGAAACTTTGTTATTATCTTAACATTTATATACATATCCATGTATTTTCTTTACCAGATTTGCATTGATAATTTACAATCTTATACTATAAAAATGATTAACTTTCATTTTTATAGTCTCTGTATAGTCTTTAAAAATGAAAGATAATTATTTTAATAGTCTCTGTGGTCAGCTTAAGAAAGTTTTCCAATTTACTTTGTTGATATTTTTAAAATAAATCTTTAAAAATTATTAATACTGAATTAAAATTACTTATCTCTAAAAGTTTTACAAAATACATACATATACTTGATTCTGAAACTATTACTGCAAACCAAATAATAAATTTATCTCATTATATTAAATAAGTGATTCAAGATTGATATGGATCTTTTTTACTCACTCACGATTCAAGCACTAAGCCATAATTCTTTGTTAACTAGCATTTGTTGATAATTTTTATTACTTTTTGATGGGTTGCAAATTCGCAATTTACAGCAGTCTAGTAGTGTTGATGTTACAAACAGACTACATACAGCTGGAATTATTATACTATTAATCAACAGTGCCTTTCACATTTTCCAGCAACCACCCAACCCAAAATTGACAGTGCAAACGTTTGTGGCTCCCTTCAGTATCCACTTCATGCATTTTCATGGAAGATTTGTTTTGACAATGGTATCTTTATAAACACTGGAATTTTTCAAACTCATTACCAGTTTCAAACTTGTGTTGGAATTTAAAAATGAACAGGGCCAAAAACATTTGCACTTTTGATTTTGCAATGTAGTTTGGCTGCTGGAAGTGTGTGAAAGGTACTATTGATCAGTAATATGAGGTCACACTAAATGTGCAACAGTGCAATGTAATTAAAGGAAAAAGTGAAACCAGTCAAAATTTTTTATCAGTCAAGTATACAGTTTGTCTATGAGAAGTGTATGCATGCAGTGTAAAAAGTTTTCTGAAGGCCATGGAAAAGTATCAAATCTCTTGCATGCTTTAATGTAGCCAGTGGTTGTTGTAGATATCAAATTAGTATGTGCTATATTGTATTTGTTGTTAGTGTAAGTGTTAGGGTCTCTTCAAAAATAATGTACTTATTTTTTCTTAAATGTTTTCAAAAAATGGATATGGAAATGGAAAATATCTAGGAAAGCATCAAAATCTTATTGAAGTGTTCATATAAACTTAATTGTTTCTAAATCCCAAATATCCTGGCAAATCTAAGATGGTGTTGACAGAACTAGATCGAGATATCATGGACTGTCTTCCTTACAATTCACTTATCTCCCTCTGATTTTTAGTTTTCATACCAATGGAATGTTCTTTGGAGACTAAAATCTTTTTAATATAGAAGGGCTATGCAAGAAAAGCATTTTCTACATGATAGGATTTTAAAAATCTCCAGAATAATATAAATTTACAAAATGATGTTTTTATATTTGCAAAGACTCAGTATTTTGCTGCTACAAAGCATTGACTTATTTAACCAATAACTAGGAGAAAGAACACTTTTAATAATAATAATAAAATATACAG